TAAAACACATCTTTTGTACTCCAATTTTTTTTTTTTAATTGAATTTAATCTGTTCTCTCGGCCTACGCTGTGAGAGAGTTGACGCGATTATAGACGAATATTTATATTTTGCTACTGGACACAGCGAAATGACTTCAAACAATTCTATGAAAACAACAGTTAAGATTTCTTGTAAAATTCTATGAGCCGTTTATCTTTTATCAGAATTAAAATTGATGGAGTGGTCTCAGATAATGAAAACAACTTAAAGTGCAATATCTTAGCCCAACATCTAAAAGGGGCCGACAAAGGATTCATTCATTCAACGACGAGTCGTTGGCAGTGCAAAGATGAGGATTATTAAGCTGGTGTATATAAATATCTTTAAAAATCAAATCATAAATAATGTTATGATAGAGCAAAAAGTATTATATTTAAAATTCGACAATGATTATATCATCATCGGTTATACTCATTTACAATTTCCTCTCAAAAAGCTCTATATTATTAAAGACATAAAATACCCGTGAGATGAAAATATACACCAAGGTATTCCGTGTAAATCAAATAAAACATTACATATTTACAAAATGTGATTTAATCTATAAACAACTTTACCAAGAAGTAGCAATATCCTAACTCTCAACAGACAAATTCGTTGTAAGGGTTGTCAAGTAAAAATATCACTCGCCATACAGAAGCCAATGCCAACTTGGTTTCAATTAACGAAGAAAAAAGTGCAAAAGTAACTGTCAAATGCTACTAAACAGTTAATAAACAAGACGACGCCTGCAACGGTGCACATATGGCTACCGTTGATCTAATGAGTCAAAATTATAAGACAGGCCGTACGTGAAGCGTGACTACGTAATTTATGCTGGCAGCTACTTATAGAGAACTTACGGGCTCGAATTTGAGGCGTGCCCTTTGGGAGAAAACATTTATGGTTAATATAGAACCACTGTTTTATTTGCAGGACATATGAAGGTTAACATTTTGGCTCCTTAATGTCTCAACTAATTATTACGTTTAGCATACAGATAGCATTTGGAATGATGAAAGACATAAATTATACTTTATTCCGGCACACAAAGTCGCGAGCATGTCTAGTATTATACAAATAAGAGATATAATTTTATACAAGATAAAACTGCATTAATTAATTACCAAATGATTTTAAACTTTAACTCAATCGTTTAAGGATTAATTCTTTTGTTGTGCCGTTAATTACACAGACTAACAAACCATAGACGGCCCGGTTCATGTTTCGTGTATTTCCAGATATATGTGACGGCTGCAATATACCACCCATACTATAAAACGTCGTATACAACCAAGTAAATCAAGTAAATATAGAATGGAGATTCGCTTGCACGCTTTTGGGTATATATATGTACATTTTAAAATTGTATGCATTGAATTTAAAAGCTTAATTGCTCATTAAGCTTTTAAATTCATTAAGGAAATAATTAATGGAAAGAAAAATTAAAATAATTGACGTAGTCGAAACTCTATTTACTATTTCCAAACTGCAGGTCCTTTTTAGAAATGTGTGTTACAATTACGATTTTATTAAACCATTGTTCTCTTCAAGATGAATTTTAGTTATTTTTTTTTTATTCGTTCAAATCCCTACAAATTATGTTGAATTGTCTACAATTACCAGCTTCTAATACAAAGCTACTTCTATTGGACAGCCATAGTCTGTGGTATCCCATTGCTGGGCAAAGACCTCCTTTGACTACTTTCATTTTTCTCGATCACTGGTCAGAGCATAGTAGTTCTTGTGGAACTGGACAAGATCACCAACGGACACGAGGTCTACCGGGACCTATTTTTGGTTTAACAAAAATAGGTGCACAATATTTGGCTCTCCTACCTCTTGGCATACGACTCACATATCTTGCCTAGTCTCATTTTAATATTGCTGCTTGTTGCACTCAATAAGCACAAAACTATCATCATATTTAAATAAAATTACCATACATTAATGTGTGTACTTAAATCACAATAAAAGTCACCATTAAAAGTAAATTAGCATCAGACGTGGATGATGTGTAAACAAGACGATCCCGTACTTGAAAAACGCAATGCTGCAAGACTAAAATAGACAGGCTAAAGTGGGTCTAATTAGATATAACTGAGGTCGAATGAATTACATAGACAATGCAATGAAACAGATAATTAAGCAATTTAATATAAAATAACTGCTATTCAGCGGATTATTCTAGAAATTGGATAAATAGGGTAGCCTATTTATAGTATTCAAAGATTTTTAGAAAGAAAATATACAGAGCTAGAAAAAAATACATAAATTCTATAAGATTTCTTTTGCAGCAAACTTATAGCACAGAGAAGCATCAATGTCAAGATCCGTATGATGTACAATAAAATTAGTAACAATTTACCAACAAATAAAAATAGAGATATAAATACTACATACTAAACATTAAATACACTAGAATCTGTATAAATCTCAAGCTAATTAATTAGTGGACTCTAAAATCCAAGAAGGCTTTATTGCTACCTATTATATTTCTCACTAAGTTTAAAATTTACATGTGCAAAAAATCGAGTTAAAAATTGTTTATGATTATTTTTAAGACAAGTAAAACGAATTGAAGCCAGGAAAAATCCATGTGATATAGATGTCCTAGGCAATTTAGGTGATTTCTGCATAATTGTCTCTAGCTGTAGACAGGATCGGTAAGGTTTTTTTACGACAAACAAGAGTTTTTTCCTCCCTCCTCTATTCACTTGGTTATTATAAATTAGATCAATAGGTATCAATAAAATCTAATATGATATTGTGTCCTGGTCTACTTTCACTGCTACACAAAACGACTGCATATTTTGCTCGTAATTCATAGCAAATTTAACAAAAATGATTTACGTGTATTTTTATCAAAGATATTCGACTAGTTTCAAGACCATTCGGAACATTTATTCCATAAGTTAATCCAGTTTATAATTATATATTAATTTCGCTGATATGTCTATACTGAGTAGTTATTTATTGTGGAAGTGGTGTCACTTACTACGGTCCCTTTTTTATATTACCTACAACTTTGGTCTTGATGAAAATATTTATACTAATTTATACTTCTCAAATTTTATGTTCCAAAGATGCAGTTGTGTCCATAAAAACTACTAGTTATAAAACTTTTAGTTGTCTTTCCCAAAACAAACTGTATTTTATGTTCGACCAAAATACTTTTGTTATATAAGAAAAGATTGTTTTAATTGTGTAAACAATTGTAAAACTGTAATTCCTGGTTGATACAGCTTGGTTTTTCATTATTCTCTCAAATACCACTGACTTTATTTGGTTGTCTAATAAGTCTATAAACTGCATGTTTAATAGAAATGAATATGTAGGTTAAGGAATAATGATTTAAAATAAATGTAAGTGCAGTGATCGTAAAGACATTCGTGGCGCAGTGGTGGGCATGGGTTCGATTTTCAATCGGCCCAATTAAAAAAAAAACTAACATTTTTAAAGTGGTTTGAGTCTGGGTATTTTGCGTTCAGTCCTCAAATGTTCGTTATATGGTTCTTCATAACACGTGGGTATCATACCTTGAGGATGAGGAAAGTATTGTGGTTGTGTGACACTTATTATTGTCAGTGTTCACATAAAAGATCCCAGATTTGATCCCTGAATGGAGAGAATTATTTCCGTTGATTCTCAAACATTCAATTTCCGGTCGCTCTCATATATTATTATGCGAGTAGTGACTCGATACCCACAATGAAAACCACAACGGTAATATACCTAAAGGTCAACGAATATGTTGTTTTATTTATAAGTAATTAATATAGTAGTTTTATTGATATTATTAAATCTTAGAATATATACAAAGTGTCTCTATACAAATGCTTCTAGAAAAGCGAGTCAACTTTTTCATAAAAATTTGTATGATAAATAATTATGAGTGATTCCTTTATAAATTCTATATTTATTTTGTTTTATAAATCTTGCGCCTTTTCATTTTATTTATTAAATAATTTAATATAGATACGTCAAGATACATTGTGTGCGTAAGTATATAGAACAATAATAAAAAACAAGTCAGCTAATTTGACAATTAGCTGACAAAATGTTGACTCATTTTTGAGGCTCTATACTCTATCTATATAATCTAAGTATTAAATATATTTTCGTAAATAGTTTAGATTTAATAGAATCATCATATCAGTCATGAACTGTTGAACATATACGCTCCCCTTGGAGTGTTCCGTCTGTCGTTGTTACGCTTAGCAGGCGGTTTGGCAACTTTGTGGTTGCTTCGGTTGGCTTTGGAGATATTTATCAGGACGCTGCTGCCCATCCCTCGACCATTACATATATGGTCATAGTTTTACAAAAAGAAAATTGCCTACTCCATACTACTATATATTTTAAACTTTTTCTTTAAATTACAACATCATTACACTTCCAAAAGCACACCATAGCCAAATTGAGTCAATCTTTTTTTTTTAAACCAATCCATCAATTCTACTCACTCATGCTTATTCGTTGATACCCATTCACTTCTACGTTCCGTTACAGCAAATATTTATTCAAATATTGATTTTATTTCCTACATGTATAATATAGTTATTCGAACGGTTTGTTTTACGAAAATCAAACCCCAGTAATCGTAGTGCTGTAATATAAATAATTTCACATCTCTGATGAAAATAAGTAGGTTTCATTCAAGCATATTATAATAGTGAAGAAAGTAAATGAAAATGTTTGCACTCTGTTGAAAGTGGAACATATTAGTTTATTTAATTATATTTGTAGAAGTCTTACAATCGCGATACGTTTTGTTTGTATGATATTTAAATAGTGTAACCAAGTGCTGTTGTTTTACGCAGTCAGTATAAACATCATCATATCATTTATAGTGGTAATATTTTTTTTTACAATTTGTTTTATTTTGTAATTGTAAGTAATGTTTGCATAATATCCGTCAGTATAAAAGCCTTGAACAAAAAAATATACAATTAATATTTAGTTATATAAAATGACTTACATCAAAGAAATGCGGTCGCAGCCTCCCCACCGTGTACTTCGCTACATCCGTAGTGAGTTGCTGGCACGCGCAGCCAAACAAGAACACTCCGATCACCTTGTACGCCTCCCAGACCCACGCTGTTACGTCTCTGCCCAGGATAGCCCGGGACCTTCCTCCCCGGTAGTCCCGTAGTCTGATCCATTCTGTGAGCGCCATCTGCAGACAAATTATCATTGTTAGCCATGCGATAGTGCCAACTAGTTTTAAACTAAGTACAAGAGAAGTCCGGATTGTAGATTGTTAGCTAGCAAAATATTCTAATATATGGGAAGAAAGGATCTTGAGTGGCAACCCCGTACGGGCAAATATGTAGGACAATCCCCCACTGGATAGAGTGACGACCTCAATTGCATTGCACGGAGTCAGTGCATCAGGTGGCTCAGGACTGTTCCGTATGGGTCTATGGGGGAGGCCTATGTCCAGCAGTGGACGGATAATGGCTGAAATGATGATAATAATGATTATACCCTTTCAAGTCGATCTCTACATGGTCCCCCCTGGAAACTATTGTGGGTAAATCTTGTCGAATTACTCATGATGTGTCAACTGGCTTGCATTTATCCTCTTCTCACCCATCATCTCTTGCTGCTGCCCCGTCATTATTCATATATCGATAGCAAAGGCCGGGGTTACGATTCCATTTTCACCCATTAAAAAAAACAAGTGAGTACTAAAGGATAAAGATCAAAGCTTTGTATATTTTTGCATAATATTATAATCATGTGTTATATTAAACGAGGTCACTTTATCATAGTAGGTAATTGTGTTTTTGTTGAAATAGTTATTTTACGACGACCTGACCATATCGTGGTAGTGTTAATGCGCTTGTAACTGAATATGGAAATTATTGGGAACAAGTTCAGTACCAATTTTAGGAATTAGGGGAAATGTTTAGTAATACGGTTAGGAGCCTCATTTCTTAAAATATATACACTGTATCTGGTCGACCTCCACGCGGTCACCCCGCCCTGGTAACCATCGTGTTTAATTCGTGGTGAATTTATCACGGTTCTGAGTTTCATAAACAACTTCATCCTCACGTATCACCACTAACTGGGGGGGGGGGGGGATTATTATTAATGCGGACTACTCAAAACATTAAATTTCAATTAATGAACGAATGAAAATTCTTCATTGTTACCTTCAAGAATTATACAGATAATAAATAAAAAATATAAAAAAAATATAAAAAAAAAATACAAAAATAAAATTATAAAATAATGATATAGATTAAAAAAAATATTAATAATTTAATTATAAAAAACAAGTTAAAGAATATGTACGAAATCCTTACTAACATTATGACTGTGAAAGAGATAGATAGATACTCTTGATTGTTTCCACTAAAAGATTACAATTTTTATAAATATGAACAATTATAAGAAATAATCACAATGAGAAAACAATGGGCGACGTTATCGCTAAAAGAGACTTTGTTTGTTTATAACCTTAGCCTTATTGGCTAAACCAAATGTTATAAAATTTAGTAAAATACGTATTATAGATACAGCTATGGATGCATACCTTTTATCTAGGCCACACGGGCAAAGTTGCGTGTAAAAGCTGGTTTGGTATAAACGTAGATCATATTTTATACTGGATCGAAACATAGGGCAGGTACTTTATCATTACACGAGCAAAGCCTCGGGAAGCAACTATCAATTTTTAAAAAGTGATTAAAACAGCATTTATTAACTAAACAAAAACTTGGGTTGCTCGCCTGGTAGCGACTGCTTTCAACATAATAATTATTGTGGCGAATTATTTATATTGTATGTTTCATTAATTAATAAAATATATTATTTATGCATCATTTATATAAGTATGTATCTATATAATACAATTTTATCTTTGGCTGTTAAATGGGTTACACAGGTTACACTCTGGGTTTGTTGTACGCGTCCGTGTAGCCTAACTTCAGGCTGCAGCTGAAGATCAGTGCTTTGCTTTTAAGCAAAACCATCACTGAGCTGAAAGCCTATTTGGGACACTGTGACACACATGGCGAAACCATATTTTCATATTTTATCATTTGTTGTATATTTTAAAAAGTGTAAATAATTTGATTGTATAAACTCATTTGTAAATTTACGTGTGTTATAAATGGCTCAAATAAAACGTTTATTTATTTATTTATCTATCAACTAGTAATGTAATATATGCAAGTATTATGTATAATTACAATATACCTAAAGTTGCAATTAAGTGACCTTGCAGATATAGCGCAGGGTCGGGTCGTACGATACGCGGCCGGAATATCGCTGTAGTAGCAATGTCAGTGACCCATGGTCGCTATCTTTCGCACTCGTCTTCATACGATTTGAAAGGGATATATTAAATGTTTTAAAAAAATGTGGCGAATTTATAATTAAGAAAAAATATATAGGAGTCTTTTTTATTGGTAGAAAATGGAATGGTAACCCCGCCTGCGCTATGGGGATACGCTGGCGAGGCACCAGTGAAGGGTGATCGATGAGGATGAAAACAGGCCAGTTAGCCCATCATGATGAATTCATCAGGAATTAATCATGATAGTTTCCAGGGGGAACCGCGAGGAGGTCGACCTGGTTGGGTATATTGCTAGCTATGGGATTCTCAGTCTACATTACTAACAATCCCTTTCCCCCCTATTGGAGTCTTTTATGACCTTGCGAATTTGCGAGTACATTTCAACGTCATTACATTATTTATTGAAAATTATTACAATACTAGAAAGCCTAGGTTACGGTTTGTTGAGAGCAGGTAACTCGGTTTTTTTTATTGGGTGATAATCGAATGATAACCCCTGCGCTATCGGTATACGCTGGCGGGGCACCAGTGAGTGATGATAAATGAGGATGAAACAAGTCAGTTGGAGGACCCATAGTGACGAATTCATAGAGAATTAACCAAGATGGTTTCCAGGGGAACTGCGTGAAGGTCGACCTGATAACGTGTATTGGTAGCAATGAGGCTGTTCGATCCCTATCACTAACAATCACTTTCTCCCGAGGTAACCCGATTGTATGTTATATTATATTAGCTCTATCATGTGGCTTCACTTACATGAATCAGTATATAAAGTATCCAATGCGCTAAGTTAGGATATAATAATCCAATTTCATCCAAGTATCCAATTTCATTCAAATGCGGTCAGTAGATTTCGCGTGAAAAAATAACAAAATTCTATACATTCATTCGCTGTTACAAACTTTTGTATTTATTATATTACAAGCGGCCCGTCCCGGCGTCGCACGGGTGGACATTTTTAACATTTCCTTTCACTGCTCTGCTCCTGTTGATCGTAGCGTGATGAAAAGTATACTGTAATAAATAATACTATAATCTGCCCAGGAGTATGAAGAATAATTGTACCAAGTTTCGTTAAAATCCGCCTAGTAGTTTTTGTTTCTATAACGAACATACAGACAGAGAGACGATAATTTTACTGATTGCATTTTTGCCATCAGTATCGATTACTAATCACCCCCTGATAATTATTTTGGAAATATATTTCATGTACAGAATTGACCTCTCTACAGATTTATTATAAGTATAAATTAAAATAGTTACACTTAAAACTTATAATTCAATTTTGTAAATGTGTGTCCTTCTTTTTTAAGAAATTTTGTAATTTGCTTGAATAGTTTTTTAGTCTAGGTAGCTGTGGCAGATAAAACGTTTCGGAGTTAGAAAGTACAAAATATTTCAGCGCACGTAAATTTCTTCTGTCACCAGGGTAGTAGTCAGGGTTTAAAACACCTATTCACCATATTAATTTTATGTTATAATTATATTAAAAAAAAAGCTTACAATAGTTACAAATGATCACAACGGACCGTTATCTATTTACGCTTCATAATAATGAAAAAAAAAACATGACTAGCAAGTTAGCAATGAATCTGAGGTAATGAGATGTTAATAGACACGATAGGGTAAGTAAACGAGATTCCACGATAGTAGATGGACTATGTCCCTATGCTTATACTTATTACGTACGGACAGATAAGAATTTGCAAAAATTGTTTTGGAATCTATTAGTTTTATTAAGATCCCTTATATCATCATCATCATCATCTTATATCATCGGTGTTATATCAGCCGTTAACTGTCCACTGCTGGACATAGGCCACCCCCATAAAGCGGGGTTTTATCTGTAGTAGCCACGCTTGACAGATTTTTTTATACAACTTAGAATGGCAAACAAGCTGACGGCCCACCTGATGGAAAGTGGTAACCGTCGCCTATAAACATGAGCAGTACAATTGACATAACAGAGTATACTGTTTCGCTCATGATACCCCCCATGCGTTGCCGTTCCTGAGGACTCAGGTGTTATTCCTCCGTACACAGAAACTTCACGCCATATCCCACCCTTCAAACCGAACATGCCATTCATGCACAGCCATGCAAACACAACTGCTTTACGGTTGAAACACGAATGGGACAGAAGTGCCCAAGCAATCGACTTTTGTACAAAGTCTCCCTCTGCTAAAATGTTGATGGCAACGTTGGTAACCGCACATCATCATATCAGCCGTCAACTATCCACTGCTGGACATAGGCCTCCCCCATAAGGGGGGATTTTGCTAGTAGCAGCAACGATTGGTAGGCGAGTTGGCAAGTGCAGTTAGGCTTTGCTGATGTTATAAGGGTGACGCTGCTGCCAATTCCTAGCCCTCCCTTAATCGCCTCTTACGGGCACCCACGAGAAAGGGGCGGCTCACTCTATGCCGGGACCATACAACTCCTTACATCAATTTTTCTTAAATATTTCCAATGTACAGACATTATCTAGTCACAATTTTATTATATTAGTAAGATTTTATACATATTAATATTTTTTATTATCATTACATTTGGGCAAAGCTGCGGAGTTATAGCCAATTATAAATACTTTGGTAAAATATTATATTATCAAGTAAAGTACGAACGGTTTTATAATTCTTTTTGTTAACCTTAAGTTTTTAAAACGACTAACTACTTTCATTGATAGTGCTTGGTACATAGTCCATGAAACAAGTAAAACAACGCATACGAAGATAATAAACTCCATTAGACATTGTATGGCAGAGGGCTGTACATGATGGCCACATGCGGTAAGGAAGAGTAAAAGGAACATAGATTAAGCAGAGCATAGATCATAATTTAAGATTTTGTTCCACGAAAAAAACCGG